GTCAAAGATTGGCTCGGCAATGAGCATATCAATTTGTTTGTCTTTATTTTTCAGCTTTGGTCGCAGCTTATCATTCATCGCTTTTACCCCATATGAAAAAAAGTACATGGTCGTCAAAGTTTTGGCAAACAGAAGGAAGTCTCCTACCAATCAGGGGAGAAATGTCAAACTTGGGTCGAGTGTAACTTCGTTATAAGAGGTTTCTCATCACGTGTTCATCGGAAAAAAACGTAATTTTCTTCAACCCCTATCAAGCTTTGTAAGTTGATTCTGCCTTCATTTGCCAATCATTTTGTTTTTCTAGTTATTGAAACACTTATATAATGATTATTATTTAAGATATTCATTTTCCATTTCAGAAAGAATAGATGACAAATACGCGCCAAGGATTTAGTAGAATTTTATGTGAGTTGACGTATGAAACTAAGCTGATATACCATTGTGAAATGTGCACTATTGAAAGAGCATGATAAGGACCAGCAGTGTAGAGTCAGGTGAGCAGAAAACTGGATCCCTATTTATTAGAGATCCGAAAAGTATCCGTGAATGTCTAAAACGTCGAAGTAATACTCCTGCTTTTTTGCGGTGTAATGTAGTTTATTTGGTTAATAGTGTACAACAAGAATTTTTTAGGTAAATTCAAGAAAAAAAACAAATGTATTTTTAGAACACATGAAAGCAAATCATGACACCAAGAAGATCACACATTCAATGAAATGACCTTCCTTGAACTAAGAGTAAATTCAGAAAAGAAACAAAAATAACCCAGCATTAGCTTGGGCTCACAAAAATAGAATCGAATTACTTTTCTTTCAAGTTAGAAGTAGCTTTCATTTCACGTTAATAACCGCACAGTAGGGTCACAAACTTTGAAGAAACATTTCCATCCGCAAGAGACAAAACTTGCCCGGCTCCCGGCACCGAGCCCTTCAGTCCCGTCAAGAACACAAGCTTCTATCGTCGCGGGGGCAGTAAATTGACTTTCCATTTCTCCAAGAACCGCTACAAACGCGCTCAAACGGCTGGAAAAGGAACTTGCACCGCCCCGCATAATGAGGGCGTCCCGCTCCGCTCCGCGCCTACAATTTGCATTCGCGAAAGACTCGATAAGTCGTGCCTCCGCCCGGGTCGGTGTTCCCCGCAATTGTTTGCGAAGTTTGCCATGAAAATTCCGTGACTTGAACAAGAGTTAATGCGTCGTATTACAAGGGAAGCCGTGCTCTCTCTCACGACCTGAACAACGAGGCGAGGGCGGCGGCGGCGTAGCGCGCTCTGCAACGCAAGTATTTACAAGCGCGCGCTCGCAGTAGTTTTTCTTTCGCCCGCTAATTTATTAACGTGCAACGCCGGGGGGCGGAGGCAGATGCTGGTTGTGCTTTCTCCTTGCGGAAAAGGAACAATCACGAGTCGTGTTAATACTTAAAGAAAACATGCATTAGGTACGCGCTTGCTCCGCGATGTAAAGAAAGGCGCGGGAATATTTCATTTGCGTGTTACTGGCGTAACGGGAGTCAGAAGAGTTGCGTGGTCCGGTCCTCCTTTCCTTGAAGGTTAATTTAAAAAACCACCCGCGACGAAGCTGGGCCGCGGTCGGGGGGGGAGAGAAGGAGGATGAAAAGGGGCGGCAGCGAATCAGTGGCGCGTCCGGTGCGCGTGCGGCGAAGCTCGGCGCAGACGAAATCCATCGCTGCAGCGGCCGTGGCGCCTAATTTAAACTGCGGCGTTCGGGGAGATTAGGCGAGGCGTTTTCGCCCGCAGCATTTCATCTTCTCCCGCGTGCCGGAAGCGGAGGGGTGCAAGCCGTCTCGTCCGCGTTGACGCTGGACGGCGCTGCGCGTCCCTGCCCAGCGTCTTGCGCGCGGGGGACGGGCCGAGGATCTGCACAGTGTTGCCGCATCGCATCCCGTGGGACGCGGCTGAGGCTGGTCAGGAGAGCGCTCGACATGGGGAGTTTTCGATCAACGGTGAAGATGTCGGCGGGGAATGTAAAAGGCGAGGTAGTGAAGTGGTGAAGTTTGAAATATTAATACGTACACCCTCATTAGTAGAGACAGGATTTTTATGAAATTAATTATTTTTCTTTCTTCTTTCCGTTCACAAAATTGAAATCTTGGCGAATCACCATCTCTTCTAACATAATATCCAATTTTTTCGTTACATATTTTTACATATTCAGTACCATATTACATATTTTGCTGTTTTCTTATTCACTTCAAATATATTTTTTATGAAAAGGAGTATTTAAAAAAAATCAGTATTTTTGCTACGTTAGTGGTCAAATCTGGGTGTGAGAAGTGTAATTTACACCGCTTTTTGTGGCCTCTAACCTTATTTTCCGAGAAAAATTTGCAATCGCTGACGTGTAGTGTTCGATTAAAATGATTCATGCTGCCGCGATTGTTTGCTGGTCGTAGATATCGCCTGTCTGCACGATGACTTATATTGCGACTAAGCTCTCTCCTAAACTACGGTTAATGACAATAGATGAAACTTCTACTATTTTTACTGACGAGAAAGTTGTAGAATGCAAAGTGTGCTTTAACTTGTGCTCTTCAAATATTTTTAAAACGTTTGTACTAATTTTAAAATGTATTTCGGACATTTTTTTCTAAAATCAATTTCGTTTTATGTAAATGTTTTTATTTAATTAGAGAATTTTAATATTACATAGTATAATAGATTTTACATGTTTATTACATATTCTTACTGTTTTTATTACATATTTACGTATATATTTTGACTTTGATACTACATATTTTTCCGATATCTTCTCATTAACACGTAATCTTTTAACACAAGCTTCGCCTTAACAAAACTTTGGTTTTGACAAGGGATTACGGTAATATTCAGATAACACGAATTTTTGCAACAAGAACTCAGATTATTTCGGACCCTTGAACTTCGTGTTAATGGGGATTTACTGTAATAATACATTTGGTGTAATTAAACTAGTTCTTTATAAAATATTACATTGGCTTTGTTGTCAAATTTCACTTTTGATGTACTGAATTTAAAAAGACATTAATTGGTTCCCTTGTTATATTATTTTCTCGCAATTTGTTGTGCTACCGAAGTCTACTAAATAGAAAATTAAGGGAAAATAAACAATAGATTCAAAACTAAATATTTGGGGAGGGATAAATACAATAAAAAAACGGAGTATGTCAGTTCGTTGAGAAAGTTTCTTCACCTACTTTGGAACTCTGCTGTGGAAAAAACGTTTATTGTTTGAAGGTAAAAAAGGTATTCGTAAAATTTCGAATTTCTAATGATGTGGCGTGAGACACCAAACTTGCAAGTTTTGTTCAATTGATGTGAGAGGTAGGATGGTAAATGGAATAAGTAAATTATTTATCCTATATGATGGTCTAATAGGACGCGTCTCCAATAAATATTAATAAACTGGACAGAAAAACCGGAATTGACGTATTTTAGTAAAAAACAGACAGTCGAAGGTGCAATGATAGAGAGAGTGCATCTTATGAAGTAAGCGCAAAAAATCTCTAATAATTCTCATAGTTCTTTATATCGTTAAAAAATAATTCGTCAGCGAAATTATCTATTTTGTAAACATTATAATTTCTATTGCTTGCTCGATTCTTCTGAAATTCGAAATAGAGCATGTGTATAAGCAACGGTGATTTTATATTGATTGTAAACTATATTAAAACTTGGAAATCCCTAAATGAACTTGGTAATAGATTTGTAGGTTTAAAAAAACAGAGGTTGTAAGTTGAGCTTAATGGTGCATACATTAGCATTTCGTGCCAACTGTGTCCAAAAATGCATCATCCTTCAATGAAATCCTCAGGAAGGAACACCTTCAGAATGTGAAAATTATTCAGAAAATAGGGTTGTTCCTACGATGGAGCTGTTTTGCTGGATGTTAAAGAACGAAACGTTCAACTTTCAATAAAGAAAACGAATAAGAAAATTGAAATAAAATACGAAAAGGTCTAAAAAAGAATGGGGTATTTTTCACTACTAAAAAGCAGATTTTCAATTTAAAGTCTATAAAATTTATCATTTTTGGAAATATGACAATATGGGTACTTTTTCTATTAATAACCGAGATAATAGGTCTGATACTCTACGATTGAAAACGAGACATTGCCAGACGTTCTAAAAAATGGTTCATTATTATTATTCTAACTTTGAAAAACAGAAATATCAATAAAATATCACAAGCTGTAAAGAAATAATTGAATTTTGGCATTTTAAAAAGTGTAATGAAGAAATGTTTTGATTTTAAATTAGTGTATTTAGATTTTTATTTTATTTTCTACAAAATTACAACCCCTGCTAATTAACGTGCCATGACTCATTTTCATCATAAATTCAAAGACAATTACAATTTTAAAATCTCTAGAAAATACGACTACTTTATCAAATTTTCTGAGTGGCTCCCTAAAGTGTTTCTAAATAGACTGCTGAAAGAAAATGATTTCCAAAATATTTCTCCACGCACAAGTAAATACTATATTCGATATTTCGACAATATTACATTATAGACATATCTTGTAACTTGTCGTGAGAGAACAAGTTATCTCGTGTTTGTTTTTCGTGTGTAAAACTGATAGTTTTTACTGCGTCCCTACGGAGTAGAGAGAATGTTATGTAGTGCCGCGCGAAAAAGCCGCGTATTTCCGGCAGAAAAAACTCTTATTACAGGGCTCTGGTTACGCAGAAATGAATAAATTCAGTTGCAAAATGTAGAGAAAAATAATCTATCACATGGTGTAGACAGAATCCATGTATTGTGGGTCCTTGATACCGAAAAATCGAATGATGCCAAAACGACTGTCCATCTGTTCTTCTGCGAACTAACTTCCTAACTTAGCGTCGCTAAACAGTTCAGTCGATTTTCTCCAAAATTAATATTCCCTTATTTATTTGGCTGAGGTTGCTTTACCTTGAATTTGAAACCTATATTTTAATTTTGGGGTAGCCCCTTGAACATTTTGAAATTTTTCAAAGAAATGGCTCCATCGCGTTTTTTTTATGGATTGTGTAAAGGACGTTTATAATAATGGTGCAGGTCTGATGTTCGTTGAAAACCTTAATTTTTCAAAAATTGCAGAAGTTTAAACTTTTTTCGGAGTCTTCCTACAACTAAAATATTAAATGTAGAGATTTGTTTCCTTTAATGAAATCCGTTCCTTAAAAATAGATTTTGAAATC